AATTCGTTATGAATTATCGTATGCAAGAATTCAAAAAGAAAGAAAATCTAAATAGAATAAAGATCTAAGATAAAGATAAATGAACGATGCCGCAAGATTATAATTCATTCTATAAATATTTATCTATGCTACATGATAATGAATGAAAAAATAGATTCGTTATGATATCCTAGAGAAATATGAGTAGATTCTCAGATTGATAGAAAGATAAATAAATGCAAATTTAGATATTCGGGGACGACGGCGGATTTTGACGCATAACTTAGAGATCTCATCTCCTCGTGCGTCGCAACCCTCCCAAAATAATAATATATAAAATAATTTCGATTTCATTTTCTCTCTGCTCATGATGAATTCATCACGAAAATATAAATCAAGAAAAGATTAAATAGATGACGATAATAGATAGAGAAATAGATGAATAGAATTAGAAAGAAATATAATTCTATATATATAGAGATAAATACGATATAAAACGATATGAATTAAAAAATCGATTTATAAGAATCGAATATAAGCGATAATTGAATATATAGAAAAAGAGATAAAGTAAGAATTCAAATTCTTCTAAATATTTTTTAATTAAGATAATGAAAGAAATTCGAAGATTTTGGAATTCAAAAGATCTTAATGAGAATAGAAGTACGAGATAAAAAGAAAAATCGTCAAATCGTATCGAATCATTCTAAATCGTATGAAATCTTTCAAGATATTCTATAGATTTGATATTAATTTCTATATAGATTTAGAAAATATTTTTTCGAAATATATTTAAAGTTCTAATATCTAAATAAATATTAGAGCGGATCCGTTGATTATAGCAACGGAGCATCGTCGTTGGAGTGCACGCGTAACGGAAAGCTAGCTGATACGGAAGAAAATAGTGCGTGCAACTCCAAATCCTATTTTCTCTCAATTTGATATCTTTCATCTTGAATATACGTTATTATTTTGAATATGAGGGCTATCAGATTAGAAATAATTGAGGGAATTGCAACGTATTTGGAGATATTGCCATATCTATCAAATTATTCTTCTATGAAATAGGTGCCCCATCTCGAGGCATTCCTGGCGGATTCGATTTATAGATTGGAATCCAAGGATTTGGAGAAATATCTCAGAAGCTGACGATTTTTTCCTAGACAATCTGATTCGGTCTCTTTCTATCTCGTTCTATATCTGGTCATATATATCATCTTCTCCGGATCTATGAAATTCTAATTTCAATTCGAAACCCGAATCGTGACGTAGCTCTGCTTCCCTGAATTGACAGAGCCGGAAGCTCTGATTCCTTGATATTTCATGAAGCATCGTCAAATAGAGAGCATCTTCAGGCATTTCTATAAGGTCCTAATATGACGGGCAATATTCTTGCTAATCACGATATTGTTGGCAATATCCATTCTTCTGAAATTCATCAGATTCTCGTAAATCTGCCCAAGAGATCAGGAGATATCAGGGCGTCGTTAATGCTAATGATTTTAATCTAAATTGAATTCTCCCACGCAATTTAGAATATATCTATATATTGATTTCTCTCCAAGATTCTCTTGGCAAACGTTCGCCAGAGGATTTCTGGATAATTCTCCGAGATGAAAAGGAAGAAATCTCTCTATTCAAGATTTCCAATCTTCCCATTCATAGGAGGGAAAAAGAATCTTATTATAAATTCTGCAAGTAATGATATGGTGCCTTCTACAGCATCAAATTTGTCGAAATCCTGAAGCTTGCTTACCTTATCTTTTGATTTTTATTCTGAAATTTAAATATCTGAGATTTAGATTAGAGATTTCAGGAAAATGATTAATCTATAGATTCTGAAAGATCTTGGCTCTCTATCTCGATTCTATCTATTCCGCCGGGTCGTTATATATAGACAGCCAAAGAGAAAGAAATAATTCGAAATCTCGGGAGATTCTTCTGGTCGTGCGAATCAAGCCTAATCTTTCTAGTTCATTTATCATTCTTGGGCTAGATATTACGCGGCGGCTCGGAGGAGCGCATAAATATCCGTAATTAAATGCACGCGACCAGTTTAGAAATTTTAAAAAATTTGGATTTTTCCGTGCTAGGTCTATACGTTCCGTCGACCAGCCGCATATATTGTCAAAGAGAGATGAATCTACGGGGCAATATCCGTAGATGACCAAAGAGAAAGAAATAATTCGAAATCTCGGGAGACCCAGAATTTCCGTTTCATTTATCTCTCTTAGGACTAATAATCGTGCGATAGATCGGCAGAAATCATGATAAATACGATTATCTTAAGTCATCGCCAATCACGTTACCAATCAAAGAAAGAGAAAAATCAAAAGGAAAATTCTTCAAAAGCAAGGATCTACTACCAAAAATTTCCGAGGTCTCTAATCATATCACGCCAAAAATCTCGGAGATTTCAATATTTCTAGCTATTTTGAAAAGACCTAAAATTCCCGAGATTTTCGAATTCCTAGGGAACCCGTAGGAGGTATGCTAGAGGCGAGTCAGAAAAGCTAGACCACGCGGTCGAAATAATCGTAAATAGCCGGGCCGTAATATTGAGAAATATATAATATATATATAAATAAGAATATATATATTTTGAAATATATAATATATAAATCAAAAATCAATTAAATAATCTTTCTAAGAAAAAATATTTATTTTAAATGATCTAGATATTCATTTGTCATATATTCTTCTATTGAAGAATTTTCTTTATTTAATGAATATTATATTTAATATATTCATTCAATTTCGTATTCCTTTAGATATCAAATATTTAGAATATTTTCATTAATTTAACAAGATGAAGCATATCGAGAAATCTAGAATCCATAAATAAATCTCAAATCCAATTCCTTTAAAATATTATTTTCTCATTAATGAGAAGGAAGAAAAATCGTAAATCATCTATAAATTACAGAATCAATAGAAAAAGATTTATATTGTCCTAGCTCGTAATTTAAAATCTTCAATATCCGTCGTATCTATGGATTCTGATTCCCCCCAAGTTGAATATAAAAAAGTCGACCAAAATCAGGCGAGGATAAGAGATAAAAATGCGCCAGCGGCCCTTCGCGATCCGTTGTTACGAGAGTTATTAAACGCGGAGGTTCAATAGTTGGCGAAACGATTGGCTGCAATTTGCAGGCGTCGAGGCTTGTTGGACCGGTTGCTATATATAGCGACCTTATTAAATGACATCTTGGTTCATTTGATGAACGAATCTAAGAATTGCTCGATTGTTTGAGGGCCTGAGAAACGGTGGTAGAGGACCCGCGGCGGGCTTATCGGCTGCTGCACAAAACACCTCCTATACTCTCAAAGACCATAGGTTCATTCCCCAAATTGGCAATTCGCCCTATTCGCTTTCATTTTTCAAGTTCATCCGCCTCAATCTCCAGAAAGATTTAACAGCTTCCCGCTATAAGGGAGGGACAATGTTTGTTTTCTGGTTGGCCGTTAAGTTTCTAGAGTTCTCGAGGATGGGTTGAAAGAAGATGGCGGATGCCCTCCCCCATGATGGGTGCATGGCACATGTCTCCTGTACCAGTCGGTCCGGCCGCAGCTTGAGTGCACCGGCAACCGTGTGAGACGCAAACATCAAAAGAATGAGAAACTCAGGACGTGGGCGGCTAGCCGCAATTCACTTATTTCCGTAGCACACTTCGATATGTTGTATTCTTGGGGTGGTTGTATGCCCAAGTCCTCAAGCCTAAAACAATAAAACGGACCAGGAGTCCTAATTCACCAGGGTGGCAAGGGCCCTCCTCCCTCAAAACCCTGCGCAGCCTTCATCTCAACAGCATCAACTCAGCAAAGACACAAGACTCTTCGACACCAACGCTCTTTGAAAAGGCTGCAGTGCTTGGGCCCTAGAAGGCCAGACTTGTCTCTGGACGATTTCGGAGCCCACTTTAGGCCTTGCCAAGTTTTCCTGGCCTGGCCACTGAATTCGACTCGAAACACTTTTTGAGCCCAGGGTGGCATACACCCCCAGCAACAACGCAGGGATTCAGCAAGATGAGAAGCATCCATTATTGTCAATTGTTGCAGCTCCAGGCTCATCTTCTCCGGTGCACCAAGCAGCGCCGAATTCTGCCACGCCAGCTCCAGTTGATTCCCAACGTGAGCGCAGCCGCTTTACACTTTTGGTGTTTTTTCAAAACCTAGACCACGAAGCTGGTACTGTAAACTTTATCTTGTGAAGTAATGCTACTGCGCTCACGGCAGGAGCACATGACCCTCTGCTCCTGATGCGCCTTCACTAGCGAGGTCTCCAGCTTCAGCGGTGCCAGTGCTGAGGTCTTCGGCGGCCGTGCTGGGCTCTTCGGCAGCAGCGCTGTGTTCTTCAGTGCCAACCCTGGGTTCTTCGGCGGCCACGCTAGGCTCTTCAGAGGCCGTGCTGGGCTCTTCGGTGGCAGTGCTGTGTTCTTCAGTGCCAACCCTGGGTTCTTCAGAGGCGGCCAAGCTGGGCTCTTCGGTGGCAGCGCTGGGCTCCTCTGTGGCAGCGCTGGGCTCTTCGGTGGCAGCGCTGGGCTCTTCCGTGGCAGCGCTGGGCTCTTCGGCAGGCACTTCAACCGCAGCGCTGGGCTGTTCACTAACCGTGGGCTTTTCGGGGCCAGCAGCACTAGGCTCTTCGAGGCCACTGCTGGGCTCTTCAGCGTCGCTGGGCTCTTCATGGTCATCATCACTGGGCTCCCTGGCGAACCAGCACTGCACGTCAAGATGCTTGAGATCCCAGAAGAAAAGATGCTGGTGGTGAGATGCAAGGCATGCTGACTCGTCGCACAAACATGGAAATCATATCCTGAAGCTGCAGCCACCCACATCAATCAAGCTTGCAAACCGCCAGCAGCTTGTAATTTAGCATTCATTTCCGCACTACAAGGCAAAGGGTTGCCTCTCCTCCGCCCTAAATCATTACACATGTTAATACTACGCCCGCCACCGTCCAGACTTGCATGCAGAAAACCAAAGTATACCGAACAATGCCACCTGATCCCTTGCTGCCCTGCCTCGAGCCAACAAGGGACTGCTTGATGCACATGCCTGGGTTGCAGCAGAGGGTTCACTTCACGCCTGCTGGCTTCCACCAGGCCGAGGCATTGTTTCCCCGTGAATTCTCTTAATGCACCCTTTCGCATGCCAGAGCCTTCGAGCCCGCACGCGCTCCCTGAAGTTACTGATCCGGTCAGAGGGTGTGATCCTGCGAAGGGGTATCGCTACAGGGAAACGTTCAACACAGCCCTCGGACAATTCCATACCAGGCGACCCTCGCGGATCGCACCCAAGATGACTGTGGTGGAACCGGCTGGGCAGTCCAGGCACTGCGTCAGGCCAAAGGCATTACCATAGGAGCCTGCACATACACATGGTTCAACGGAGGCCCTTGACGTGGGCTTTGGCAAGGCACTGGAAGGAAGGGTGTTCCGGGCACAGCAGAAAGCCCGGGCGCATGGAGCATGACCAGTCAAAATCTCTACTTGTAGGACGGCATATTGAACCGAATTACTCTTCTTTGATCAGCTGCGGCAAGGGTTGTGAGCCTGACATGACGAGCACTTCAATAGCAGTCTTGGCAAGGCGCTGGGGATGGCCGAACATGTCTTGATTGTATGTTGATTTCGAAAACCTGATTCTCACCAGACCGTCGCTAGTCTGCCTGCCTTTGGCACAGAAGTGGCAAGTAGATTCCCCCCTGCCAGAAGAGAAGTTGCCCACGGCACACTTGATGCAGAGTGAGCTGGACGCAGCCTTTCACTGCAACTGTTGACGTTTTCAGGCCCTTTCTAACAATGCGCAAGATTTTTCTAGCTGAGCCCAGCGCAGACGTAATGGGCTGGTATGTGCCAGGACCGCACTGCAGGCAAGTTTTAGATGAAGATGCACCTTCCAGGGCCCTCTTGTGTTGCTGACTTGCAATTATTGCACGCACACATACCTGCCCCGGCTCAGGCACTCTGATCTGACCTAGCCATGACACGAGCCCCATACTTCCGGACTCCTCACTTGTAAGAATCTGCACAAGCCACAGCAAGCAACAGCGAACCTTCCTCGCTGCTGTAGGTGCCCGTGGGACAGCCACTGCAGGTCGCCGCAGCCGTCGCGCCTAAGGCGGTGCTGAAGGTGCCCGATGGACACCTTGAAGGCACGAGGGCTGCAGACGAGACTCTGGTGTTGGGACTTGAGCCCAACGCCATGTGTCTACACACAACTTGGAATCAAGCCACCTCTCATCATCTTCCACAACTTCCGAACTTCTTTAGAGTGCAACTTGAGCCAGACATGTCCCTTCTGGCAGCAGACAACTAACCCAAAAAAACCATTACAAAAGCTGGAGGACCGCAAACCTTGCAAAGCCCGCGCGTAGTTTGCAAGGTTCTGATCATGTACACCAATCTTGGCCGAAGCTCGATGCGCAGGTTTGTTCAGAGAAAGCACCCTGAGCTGGGCTGAATGTCCCTGCTGGACAGGGCTGGCAAACCTCCAGGCATGAAGCAATAACGCAATCCATTCTTGCCAGCACGCTGGCAAATTACTCCCGCAGGGCTCAGGCCTCGGAAGAGGCTGCACCCTCGACTTCACTGAAAGTTCCAGCAGCGCAAGCGATGCAGTCGCCAGGGCTTCCACCACCCGCCTGCAACCACACGACAGGCTTGTGGGTTCTAATCTTGGGTCCTGGGGAAGGCCATCATGAAAGCCAGACATTGCGCGCACACGAACGAGTTCGCTTACCAGCAGGATGCTGGAAGCTGCCAGCACCAAAATCAAATTTGTGCCACAGTCCTTGGAGTTGAAGCGGCCAGCTGGGCAGTCCACACAAGCCTTCGTTGCAATATGTCAAAGAAGCCGGGGGTTGGTTGGATTCCAATGTGAACATGGGGAGAGGAAAAAACCCTGCCAGCGCTGCAAGCCAAGACCCCCCTTCCCTCTTAACCTAAAATAGACTTCCAAAAACCGAGAGAGAGGATCCTCAAGATGCAAGGCGCCTCCTCTGCCATGGCTCCGAGAACCGGGCTCCACTTTCCAGACGCGCATTTGCGGCAAACTTTCCTGACACGTTCAGACGTTCAGCTCCGGCGCTTGCTCTCAGAGCAGCCGGCTGGTCTAACACGCTGCAGGCTTCAGGGCATTACTTTAGCATTGTGACTCACAGAACTTTTACTGCCGACGCCCCAAGCTGTGAATGCGCGATTGAATGCAAGATCCGCACAAGCAGTACCATCATGTCCAGCTCCAGTCTTCCAGATGAAAATCTGTTTGAAAACAACCACCAGGAAAGAAGTGCAGCTAAAGCTGTGGGCAGCCCGAGGCGCAACGATGATGCGCCCTCCTCGTCACTCCAGGTTCCCGCTGGGCAAAGGCTGCACTCGAAGATGGAAGACGCGGCTGTTCTGCCAGACACAACGAATGCAGCAACATGCGGTGACTACTAGCCAGTAGCCACAACCAAAACGCTCGTGTGCTGCGTGCTGCGCGTCCTGTTGCTCCACCTTCCTTTGGGGCAGGGCTGGCAAGCCTCAGATAGCCCCGTGTTGCCCCATGTCAGTATGTGCCAGGGACTACCGAGATGATTCATCCGAACGTCTTTGCACGTTCCTGACTCTTTGCAAGCAAGGCTGCTGCAGGTGAGATTGCACCTTCCTGACTGCTCCAGGTGCCCGCGGAGCACTTCTGGCACTCCTCCCGAATCTTTCCAAAATTAGGGGCGCCGGGCAGGGTTTCAAGTAAGACTTGCAAGGGCAAACAACTGGCAAAGGCTAAGTGCAGTCTCAAAACACAGTGCAAAGCCCATAAGGTAGGGGGGGAACATTTCGGCTGCATGAGGTCCTCTGCCTTTGCCACCCCTCGGATATCACTCCACGTACCGGCCGAACCTCGAGGACAAGGCTTTCATGGTCTAGGCATGCGAGCTGCCACCTTTGCCTTGCAAAATAGCAGACTCGTCACAGCCTCAACCCTTTCTTGAACTAAGCTGAGACACACCTCCGGCAGAGCGTCTCCCCTGCTGGGCTGTAAGTACCCTCGGGGCAGATCATGCAAGGGCTCCCCCGCACCTCACTGGGTCATTTGCCAGTTGACTCCGTCAAGGATATGTACCCCAATGAGCCAAGAGTGCACAAGGCAGAGATCACAGCAGAATCAAAATTTGAATCAACAACTTTAGGCTTTCCATAGGCTTACCTGACCTCTGCATCCATTCGGCTATCCCTTTTGAAGCATGTGGAGGAAAGAGTAGGCACCTTGAATACTGCAACAGTTCTTTGCTAGCTAAGGAGCAGGTCGGCCAAATCCTCCACGGCATCCTCTGCAAACCAAGCATGACAGTACGAGTGGCCCGCCTAAAGAAATTGTGCAAACTTGCTGTTTGCGGTGGCCCTCTGGCATAAGTACTGAAGCACCCTTGTGGCGGGTTCGTTGCACGCAGCAGCTAGGAAATCTGGGGCAAACACGACATGCAGGAGGATCATTGTCCTCCAGGTTCGGCACCTGCTGCCCGAAGCACCGACAAGATGAGCACAAGTCGAGCCATTCGCGGGAGAGCAAAAAGGGATCCCTTTCGCTATGCGGAGCACTGCTAGAACCAAAAACTTTGAGCCGCGCAACACGCAACAACTGCTTTGAAAAACGAAAGCCTTCAACCTGCAATGGGAGATCGCAAAGACTCTGCAGCTGATTGCCCTTTTCATCTTCGCATACTATAGCTGCCACAAGGTCTGCAGCAGAGGCACCAAGGGAACCTGCATCCAATGCGAACCGAACGGGTGATGCACCCTGATGGATGTGGCACCACCTGGTGTCTGCACAGGCATTTAGCTGCAAACGCCTGTATCTGCAGACAGGCTTGGGCCTGGGCATGGGTCTCGCCAAAGGTTGGACGGAAAGAGCAGTTAACCGCAGATTTAACAATTCACTCCTGATTTCGAGTTTGCTGACCCGTGCCTTTTGCGAAGTAGCGGTACGATGCACGTTCCCCACCATGGTCTGTGCTCAAATTTAAAACAATAACAACCCCCACCCCATCAAGAATATCAACTTGGTAGAAATTCAAGCCACTTGTTCAAGTTCACGAAGCCAAAGTGTTCCTGCAAGAATGCGCTACGCGCTACCTTTCTGGAAGGGCTGTGCTCAATCTCTCATAGCCGCCAATGGCTTACAGCTCGTGAAGGAATCAGAAAGTGAAGCCAAGGATTTACTGGGGACTCTGCCCTTAGCGTCTTATGGCTGCTGGCGGTGGCTATCAGATCAGCGCAGGTCATGACTTACATCAGAAGTGCTACTTCGGCAGATGCCATTTTGCCTCTTGCATGCCAGCCCAGGCACCACAGTCATGCAAGCAACATGACTGCAGCAAGGCAATGCTGTACGTGGCTGGTAAAAGCCGCACGAAAATCTCAATTCAAGCAATTGCTTCTCCTTATTGTCACGTTAGCTCGTGTTCCATGAGCCCTGTCTTGCATCAACCAGCAGATGGAGCGCGAGCGCTTTTGAACGCTCTCCTGTCCACAGCTGCGCAGACATGATTAATGTGCGTCACGAGATTGGCTCTTAGTCTGACTTGCTTTGCCTCAAGTGCATCCTTCCGTCTCGACTAGCTTGCATCTTTTGGCTAAAGGCCTCTCACCATGATTTAGGCTTGGGTTTCGGGTTTGGGGTTCTGTCTTGGGCCCTCTTGGGTTGAGGAACAAGGGTTGGGGTTTGGAGCTTAGGGATGTTTCAGGGCCTTTGTTCCAAGGTGCAAGGTAGCCAGACTTTGGCGCTTAAGGTTTTAGCGTTACAGTTTTTGCCACGTGCATGGCTCGGGGCAGCGCAAGTCATAGGGTTTGGTTCAAGTTTGCCTTAGAGCTCAACGTGTTGTGGTTCCAGCGAGTTACTGGTAGGGTTGGGGGTCTGGGATTGCCTTGGGGCTTGGCGTTTAAGTACTGGGTTTTTTTCCGTTGCAAGACTCAGCACTAGGCATATGCTGGTTCTGGTCTGTTGAAAAAATCAGAGCGAATTAGGCACTCAAAACTCACATCACAGAATTCATCAAACAACCACCCAGTCGCAACCAAAATACATGCAATGTGGAAAGCCCATGCGACAGATCCTACTCAGTGCGCTTCTGAACATTTTCGGCAACCTCGTTACGCACATCGGCGTCCCTGGAAAAGCGCCGAAGAGCACTTAGAGCACTTCCAAACATTTGCAATGTCTGGCCCGGCAACTGATCTGAGACACTCCAGATCTTCAGTGACCGTTCTGTAGGAACATAAGCCATGACGTGAACAAACTCAAGCTTTCAGAATCGCATGGTTAGTTAGGCAACTTTTCCAACAAATCGTTCTCACCTGGGCGCGGACTGCAGCAACATGCAGCAACTGGCCCAAAGAAGGGCAGCTCTACTTAGCTCTACTGAATATGTGGTCTTCACCATTCTGGGCTGGCAATGGTGAAAAAGTATTGAAGTCTGTACTGTCAACTGTCCATATTCCATCCAGCTGTTGACAACTGACTAGCTTCCAGTTGATTCTGCATATTGATCCCGCTGCACATTCCCTGCTTTCCAAGAGATCACCTCCATCTCGAACACATCCAAGTCTTGCTTCAGTCTCGAAATATAAACTAGAGCCCAGGAACCGTGTTCTAACAAGTACTTACCCCATTTCTGCCACAAGGTGAAGGACACAGCTTGTCTGGCGGAGCACACTGGGGGCATCAGACGCCAGTTCTAGGATGTTGCCGGACATGCCCTGACAAAAGAAGCCAGGCTTGCATAAGCAACTTTCCTCTTTGCCTTAAACAGTGAAGTAGTCACTCGACCACATGATGCCTTCAAGCTGGTCTGACACTTGCATGGCACAAATCGGCTTCAGCGAAAAGGAGCAGCAGGGTCCTGACAGGACACAGGACAGCTCCTGCCTGGAAGGATCACAGCCCGAGCTCGGACAACGCAGCAGCCGCACCTTGAAGTGTGTGCAAGCTATTTGCTGCTGCCATGCCTGGATGTGGCGCAACATCCGTTCCTTGCTCAGACTCTTTGAGCTGAGTGATTGTGCCAGTGGACATGCCACAAGTCTATGGAGAATTAAGAAGACAAGGAAGCACTCAATCTAACACACGCTAAAATGAGCAAGGGGAAAAGCGAGCCTGACTTCGGAGCAGCTGTCAGTTCCTGCACGCGTGACGCGAAAAGCACGCACACACACACACACACACACACCGTATATGCCTACTCACAACTGCAAGCCCGGGGTCGTTCTACCCTTCACTTCTCAGTGCATCCTTAACTAGACTTACCACTGCAGTGCGACGAGGCACTGCCTGTCAAGATTCAAGCAGGCTGTCCACGTGGAGATGCGTTTGGAGATAGGGACTGGACCCAGAGCTCTCTACCATCTCTAGCTTTGCCCTGCCTCTGTCTTTGCCAGCAATGTCCTGGCAAAGCAAAACGAATCTAGGTGCAGCAAAGGCTAACCTTGGCAAGCGGATGCCAGAAACTTCGATGTGATGTCTTAAAGCTCGGCTTCTAAACTGCACCTGACCTGGGTCCCGAAGAGGAGTCCATAACCTGGGAGAGACAAAAGATACACATTGTTTTTTTCACAACACGGATGCCAAAGATTGAAATTGCAGCCAGGCATTTCATGCCAGCATCTGTTGCTGGGAAGGGAGCTTTTGGCTTCTTGGAACTCTTCTGATTTTTTGCCTGGCCACGAACAAAGCATGATGTCGAAACCATGCTCTCACGATGCACTTCCACTCCAAGCCCACTGCCGGCTCTGCTGCAGGTGGTGCAGGCTTCATCTGCCAAACAAGCTCACTGAGCAATGTTGGAGCTCTCTTCATGAAAGTATCCTGGCCCTGGCGCCTTAGGAGATGTGTTGTCTGAAGCTCTGGCAGCCTGCATGACCTCACCGCGGTAAGCTCATCTCTGGGTGGAATCCAAAGCCCAAACACTGGAACGGAAGACCAGTTGTGCAGTTTCTGCCGACAACTACGAGAATCACCACATCCAAACACGCTTGAGTTTACCCTGTGAGTCCCCTGCCTCCTTTGGAAGAATGACTGTCCTTGGAGAGTATTGCGGGCAAGGAGCATTCACATCGGCGAGGTCATGAAAACGCAGAACTGGTGCAAGTACCCTGCTACTGCACATGCCTTAACATGCTTGCCATGATAACGCCGCAAAGCTCGACAGCACCAGGGACATGTTTACCTGGAACAGCTGCCTGGAAGCCGCCATAAAATTACATAAAATGAGCCTTCGGCTCAAGTGGAGGAGGGGCCTGCGAGCAAACCTGAGGTGGGCGCAGTGTGAAGCGTCCCTGCCGCACCTTGGGGCCACGATCAAATTCATCAGCCCAATGATTCGCGTCCTGTTCCCCAGCTGGAAACAGCACATGCCTCGGAGCGCCCATACAAAGTGAAGGTGGAGCCCTCGGGGCTCTGGCTGGCAAACGACACCGCAAATCTTCCAGCTTGCTCTTCAGGTCCAGCTCCTCAGGGTGCGAGCACAAGCCCTAAACACATCCGAGAATTTAGCGCGTGAAGTGTGACTTTATGTTTGTCTCTTTATCTCTATCTGCCTTGCGACCTATCTGTGTCTATGGACCCTGCGATGTCAACCAAGATATACTGACATAGTTACCGGACACATAACCCTTCCAAACCCCAACTGTCCCCTGCTTCTCCCAGACTTTGCACTCTGATGTCTCTTTGCCTTGCCCTCCAAAGCGCTCAGCACGCGGGCCTGCGAAGGGCCGTGCTTGGTCTTAATGCGCATGATCGACAGCTTGTGCATGTCTCATGCCATAGTGCAACCAAGCCCAGTCAATCTTGTCAGTCTCACACTGGCTTGGCCACAGAAATCTGCATCCAGGAGTTAGGGTCACAGCTCAGATTAATAACGGGGCGTCGACAGCTGGTAGGCATGCTTGGCTCTTTTGATTTTGCCGCCGTGCAGAAAAGTCAATGACAGACTCTGCTGCGCAGAAGCCTTGCTGGCGGCAAACCATCCAAGTCCTGAAACAGCTCACCCTGATTTGCGACGATTGCATCGTATGATCTTGAGCAAAGCTGACTACTTCATTGTCATGACTGCTGGCTTGCAGCGAACAGGATGAGCTCGATTTCCCTGCCTTGCATGGAGGTGACTACGCTGCTGGGCAAGCAGACCTACACTACATATCGAATTAATCGGTCACGAGCTGCATGCAGCCTCGGTGTTCTTGCTTCGCTTTGAATCCGGCCCATCCAAAGCAACGTCCATGACATTTTCTATGCCCGTCTTGGACTTTGAGGCATTCTTCAGGAATTGACCAAACTTCCGTGGCTTCGCCGCCGGCTTGGTCTGCTTTGCCTGTTGCGGATTGGCCCTTTGCTTCGGCTTCACAAGCCGCTTGGCCTTGGCCTTGGCCTTGGCCGCCCGCTCTTTTGGCTTGGCCTGCGCGTCTTCCTTCAGCACGCCTGGCATGCTCAGGGAAGGGGGATCCGAACCGTCAACATGGCGCGAAAGCACATCCAGAGCTCAAGATGCACCCGCTACTTCCCTTGCCTTCGCTACCTGCGCTTGCGCATTTTCGGTTCTCTCGCAGCCTTTCGATCAACTTGGCCCTGCCATCTCAGAACATGGGTCGAGCGGTTTTCAGCTTTGCCCTAACCTGTGCATGAATGAAGCCGTTGACCGCACTTAGTCTACCTCCATGACTGCACCATTCCAACGTGCAGGGCCACGCAGCCAGCCCCATGGACCTCTATTCGATTTTGGCGAAAACAAAAAGAGCCCATTTTAAGCAGCATAAACTAAAAGACAGCTTGTCCATCTAGCTCAGCTTCCCTGCTACAACGGAATTGCCATATTGCAAAACGGCTTTGCCGTATGTCGTAGGCACCCTAAGCCGATATGTGCGTTGCAGCCTCCACTGGTTGATGCGTCTGAAGTGCCGATCCTGCAGCATACTATGCGGCAGCAGTTATGAGGTATGCAGAGCTCAGGCAGGCAGGACGAGCCGTGTCATGACAGGCGCGACTTAGTCCATTCTCTGGCAAAACCATGTCCATCCAAGATTCTACCCTTGGATTGTCTGCGGTGATCATGCCGGAGTTATCCTGCCACAAGCGCAGACTTGTGAGTTTGAGATGCCACGCTCGGCTCCAGGCACGCGTTGCGCAGCTTCTGCCTGAACTCCAAGCCCAAAAGCCTGACAAGCCTGATAACTAGTAACTAGTGGTAAGACACCATACAACTGAGCTTTTGAGCAGAAATGCCTGCACACTGAACCCGACTTCTGTCAGCCCGGCCCACCAAACTTTGTGAAGCCTACCTTTTGACCCTGAGCACCCGACGTTACCTCCATCAAGATGTCCAGGAGGAAGTCACCCGCCGTGAGTTCTGAGCGTAGCCGCCTGCGATCCTTCCAGCCCATGAAGGGGGTGAAGCTGGCTTCGTGGAACCTCTCTCTGAAGACCTTTCTGGATTTGGTTGTGAAGTGGCTGCTCACCCTTCCTGCTTCGCTGGACCCTTGTGAATTTCTCTGTGGGGACATGGAACAACGGCTCAACGGGTGTAGTCAGCTTATGCTGATAGGATTCACCAAAGACTTTCAGCCTAGAGCCGCTACCTCGAGCTATCTGCTTCTGCTATTCAATCTACATATCGGTCCCGGATCGCATGCCCAGATGGCATAAGCGCGGTGCGCGTAGCATTCATGAGGTCCTGGCGCTCAAGACACATGCTGGGTGTAACATTTTGCCACATGCTGACTATTGTCACATCCAGCCCAGCTACTTAAACAGCGCATCTACTTCGGCAGGCGGTCCAGAAGATGACTGTCTTCTGGGCAGAGTGAGCGGAAGCGGTTCTGCAAAGAAATGGAAGGGTTGATGGCTCTGCATGTGTGCTTCGGGTGCTGTCATCTCAGCATGGGCGCAACACTGTGCCAACCACTCTTGACAATGCGTGACCTGAATTGGCACGGCAAAATGGATGTATCAGACATTCCCTGCCTTGATCTTGTGGTAAGTGCGGTTCGCAAGCCTTGTTGTCAGGAACCAGAAGTCGGGCCTGCTTTTCTCCTTGCGTTTTGCAACTGCAAACTTTGAAGGTGTGCTACGGCAGCGGTCATGTTTTGAGCCCCGGAGGTGTCAACTCCAACGCTTCCCAACCCTGCAAGGTGCCCTCAACGTTGAAAGCTTGAATTTCTTGATGAACTCAACGCCGTGTAATGCAGCAACGAGTCAAAGAGTTGGAGCCACCATGCAGTGACAGAACCCATGTTTTTTCATCATTTGAATTTATGCTGCATACAAACACACCGGGCTCGGAATCAATATGCCCAGACTCAGCGACCCAATCTTTGATGACCTGCCATGGCAACATGCAATGCAAGCAACCAAGGATTGGGGTATCCTTCCTTCAGGTCAAGCCCATCACCGCTACCAGCTCGGGTTGCTTTTGAGAAGTCAACATCGACACATGTGGTCCGAAACCTGACCATCCTTCGAAACAGATCAGTCAGAGCATCATGTCTGTCTAGAAAAACCGCGAGAAAAAAAAACTTGCATTCTGAATGTTCTGGTGGCAAGTCTCTTGCGGGGTCGTACACACGGTCTGGTATGTGATGCCCGGGAGATTCTACAAGTCAACCAGCAAAGCCCGCCAATCTGCTTTGCCTTGTCCTCTTCTTCAGTAAACGGTCCCGCATCTTAGCCAAGCATCACAGCTTCGGGAAATCTCATGGCATGTGGAAGGTACCGCTTAATCAAATCATGATTTGCTCTCAACCTGCGATAGCTGCAGAAAAGTGGCTGAGGCGTGGATCCTTGCAATTCGGCTGGGCTGCAAATACTACAGCCCATGCATTTACCCAATGGCCCATGCCCTGCCGGCCGGCATTTCGTCATGCATGTGAAAAACTTGGTGCAGCAAGTGCAAGGCAGGGCTCTCATGAAACTAGTGGACATTGCAACTGGGTTCTCAAGGCTGCATTCAACAAAATTATCTAACTGCAACAAGGTATGCATTCTTGCCCACCAGGCCAGCAAGCATCCTACCACCCATTGTCCCTATGCCTAAGATCCGGCGAGACTAACACCAATAAATGCTGCAAACGTCCTCTTGGTACTTCCACCTGTGGATTGCTTCGCAACCGATACGATTCGGCACATGCTCCGCGACTTGCTTGAACCTGGAGTCGCAGCACTTCAAGGAAATGTGGATTTTGCGGGTGCCTGTTGTTTTCGGATTTTTCGAAGCTTGGGTGGTTGGGGAGGGGTCCAAAATGCATGGGCGCGAGGGAACTTAATGTTGAGCCGTTTATGGGGCTCCAGGCTCAAAAATTCCAAGACGCTCCACACGAGAACTCAATTTCATGTCAAAATGCCATCTGGAAAGTCTGGAAGACGAATTAAAGCAATTTGGAAGGTTTGGGAAAGAGGAATTCAAAGCAATTGGGAATCAGCTTGGAATGTTCGCGTAAGGGTCTGGAACAGGAACCAAAGGCAATTGCAAATCAGCCCGATATGTTCGCAGGAGGGTCTGGAAGAGGAGTTTAAAGAAAGTCTTGAAAAGAGGGCACAGGCAATTGGGAGTCAGCCCGACGAATTCGCAAGAGGGTCGAGAAGAGGAGTTTAAAGGCAATTTGGAAGGTCTGGAAGAGGAGTTTAAAGGCAATTGGAATTCAGCCCGAAATGTTTGCAGGAGGGTCTGGAAGAGGAGTTTACAGGCAATGTAGAGGGTCTGGAAGCGGGTCTGAAAGAGGAATTTAAAGGCAAGTGAGAATGGGTTGGAATGTTTGCAGGAGACTCTGGAAGAGGAGCTTGAAGCCAATTGGGAATCTGCCCGACATGTCGCACGAGGGTCTGGAAGAGGCATTTAAAGTTTAAAGGAAATTGGAAAGCAGAGGGTCTGGGAGAGGAGTGTAGAGCGGGCTGACTTGCTCAGTGGCAGAGCGCAAGGTTCTTAAGCTGACGTTTGTAGGCTTGAGTCCAAGATCTGGAAATCATCCCGAAATGTTCGCAGGGTGTTTTTAAAGTGGAGTCGAAAGGGGCCGAAGACTCCGAAGACTACTTGAGAATCAGCCCGAGATGTTTGCGGCCGGAAGAAGAATTGCTGCGCCGGCGGGCGATAGCAGAAAAAATAGAACCCAGCAAGAATATGGGAAACAACAACAGCTTTGCGAAGAGAGTGGACTGCTGTCGGCGTAGACGACACGACGCACGTAGTGTTCTGACCAACTTGAGTTGTTTTAGGAGGCCCGAATAGTACAAAAGTTGAAGCTAGTTGCCTAAAACGTGCTAGTGATGTTGAGTTTTTGTGGCCGCTTCTCTTAACGCGGCTAGTTCAGAGCTCAGTCGCTTGGATGTACAAAGCGAACGCAAGACCTTGACGCTCCCGAGGATGACAAAATTGAGCTGACCAAAAGATCACTTTCACCCGAGACGATTGTCGTCCAAGACGATTGTGAGGGCAAAACGTGTGAATGAGATGACGAAGGTCAAATTTTCATTCTAGTTTGTAGCTGACTAATTGGCATCATCTGTCCAAATTCTAGCTGGTAGCTTGGTAGTCCTCTGCTGTGCTCAGCTTGCCAGCTGCCCAGCCAATAGTGATGTTTTGCAAGTCACCCGCAACGTGCCTTCAAAAAATCAATCAATTGGCTGGCCAGGAAGAAGCCATAAGAAAATCTGGGGCTTGGCCATCTAGAGCATTTGGGGCTCCTAGGCTGGAAATGGAAGCAAAGCAACTACGACGTTTCAGCTTGCCGAAATACTGCCTTTTGCAGGGGATTCTCAAACCCAGGAATTGGAGAAATGTGAGTTTGCAGAGCAAGACATGGAGCTCGCCTCATTTTTGCACAGAAAGAGCCACCTTGTTTTTGGCGCAGACCTCCTGACACCCTCGGACTGATGGGGAGTAGCTCTGACTAGTCGGAGCCTTGGACGAATGGGGCATAGCTTGGACTAGTGAAACAAACCTGGGACGAAAGGCGCCATGATAAATTTGAATCAGAACTCCTCACACCCTTGGACTAATGGGGCGTAGCTTGGACTAATAGAACAAACCTTGGACTGATGGGGCGTAGCTTGGACCAATGGGACGAACCTTGGACAAATGGGGCGATGATCAAATAAAATCCGAACTCCTCACACCCTTGGACTGATGGGGCGTAGCTTGGACTACTGGGGTGTAGCTTGAGCTAATAAAATAAACCTTTGAGTAATGGGGCGTAGCTTGGACTAATGGGGCGTAGCTTGGACGAACCGGGTGATGATAAATCTAGTCAGAACTCCTCACGCCATTGGACAAAGGAGCTCTGGTATTCAGATGCTGCAAAAACGTTATGTTATGCTCGGGGTGCGGATGCTGTGGCAAGTGGATGCGCCTTGATCTTCCTCGTTGCTCTATTTCCCAGACTAAAAAACGCGATGCGTGGTAGACGCAGTATCTTGCTCGCAACACTTCGAATGCGTGGTTCGTGCCATGCAGGCCACATCCGGACAGGTCGGCCAAGTAGGCATTTGTTGCGCGTTTACGCCCTGGCGAAGCCAACAGCAACAGAGCCAATAGCAGCGAAAAAATCATATGCAAAAATAGGAGCATGGCTAACTAAGAGTATCAGGCACTAGCAATAGCAAAATACCCATGACCGCAATAAAAGTTTTTTTTTTTTTTTTTT